TCCAACTCCAAAGGCTCCGGCTCGGCCGGGCCTGATGGACCCCTCCAGTCTTACCCATCATTCAGCAGATCTGACACCAAAGAATCGTCCCGCTCGTTTCGATCTCTAGGCTCAAAGATTCGTGGTAGCAAGTCCGATAGTCCTAGGAACTCACAGGTTCTATCCAATGGTGACACTGCGACCGAAACAAAGACTGAGGAACGACGATCCAGTAGGCATGGACGTTCAAGCTCTTCTCGACTGAGTCGCAGTGAGCTCCCCCCGCTCAACACCGCCGCGTCAGACATGTCAGCACCCGAATCGGCCCTCGCAGATTCAGCTATTGGAGACGATCAACCGCCTCCATCTCCCGTTCAAGGAAATACCAAGGGCGGCGCCCACGATGTTAGCGCTGCGCAAGCATCGGGAGAGGTTGATCATGTTTCTGACCAACCCCCGTCTGTCAATGCTGGAGCCACTGCGCATATGCAAGCTCCAGGCCAGTCTATTCTGGTGAAGCGAGAAAACACCATTAACCCAGTCAACAGCCCTTCTGCTGAGTCCAAGACAGAAGGAAACTCCAATGTCGCCATGTCTGAGATTAAGGATATCGATCTCGATGACTTTATTAAGCGACTCTTGGATGCGGGTTATGCTGGGAAGGTCACCAAGAGCGTCTGCCTCAAGAATGCCGAGATTGTTGCCATTTGTCAGAGGGCTAGGGAAGTCTTGCTGTCACAGCCTGCTCTCTTGGAGTTGGATGCTCCAGTAAAGGTCGTGGGTGATGTCCACGGCCAGTATACTGATGTTATCCGAATGTTTGAGATGTGTGGATTCCCCCCTAACTCGAACTACCTTTTCCTCGGCGACTACGTCGATCGAGGTAAGCAGTCTTTGGAGACTATTCTGCTACTCCTCTGCTATAAGCTCAAGTTCCCGGAGAACTTTTTTCTCCTCCGCGGAAATCACGAGTGCGCCAACGTCACGCGAGTCTATGGCTTCTACGATGAATGCAAGCGAAGGTGCAATGTCAAAATCTGGAAGACGTTTATTGACTGCTTTAACACTCTACCCATCGCTGCCATTGTCGCGGGCAAGATCTTCTGCGTCCACGGAGGACTTTCACCTGCGCTAGTTCATATGGACGATATTCGAAACATTGCTCGACCGACAGATGTCCCCGATTATGGCCTACTAAACGATCTTCTTTGGTCTGACCCTGCAGACATGGAACAAGATTGGGAAGCCAACGAGAGAGGTGTCAGTTATTGTTTTGGCAAACGAGTCATTACCGAATTTTTGGCAGTGCATGATTTTGATCTTATTTGCCGTGCGCACATGGTCGTTGAGGATGGCTATGAATTCTTCAATGATAGGGTTCTGGTAACAGTCTTTAGTGCCCCCAATGTAAGTTACCCGTCTCCGCATCTTCTCGGAAATCCGGCTAACTCGTAAAGTACTGCGGTGAATTCGACAACTGGGGCGCTGTTATGTCGGTATCTGCGGAGCTGCTCTGCAGCTTTGAGCTTCTCAAGCCTCTTGACTCAAGCGCTCTGAAGAGTCATATCAAGAAAAGCCGAAACAAGCGACAGCACATGCTCAACAGTCCGGTATGTTCCACAAACAAGCACCTTTAAAACCTGTCTAATCATTGTCACAGCCCGCTATGGTCCAACCTCAGAGCGTGTAATAGTATACATTGCAAATACGAATCCGATTTTTATGCCACTTCCTCTATTGAGACGTTCATTTAACGAACTACGACAATCCGAGGGCAACCCGGACATTCCTGTCCAATTTCACCGGAATGAGCAGCGTAAACAGATCGACTCTTGAACCAGAGTATGAAAAGGTCAGAATGGGTTTGGGTGCCGAGAACAAGCACACTCAGTATACAGTTGCCAGTACCACGGTGTGACAGCCGCAAGGTCGCGGCTCTGTTCCGAGTGACGGACGTAACTGTCCTAATCAAAAGAACCTGAAATGGTTGAATCGGTACACAAATCCCAAAATAGCGCCGCTGTGTATACGCTTTGGAGTTTGGGAAAGGTTGGCCTATATTTGAGGCGCACTTGTAAATGATTGATTGGAGGATTGGGAAAGATGCCTTATAGAGTATTATGGGCTTACAGCAAGATCCAAGATCTTGATTTGTGCATAGCACCAGGAATTGAGTACAGGCAGTTCCTATGAATATGTTTATGCTTTTCTATATGACTTACAGTGAATCGAATGTGATGTTGATGATTGGCCAATGCGGGGTGAAATGCTTAGTCATTGAGTTGCGACGAAAATTGATCGTCGAAACCACAGACAATTAGCTTCACCACATCAGACAACCACCCCAAAATGCAACGCCACGCCTTCCGTTCGGTGTGCAGCCGGACAAGGCCAGAGCTCGAGCAGGTCTCGGATGCCTTTCGAAACTACGCCCGCCAATTCTCAACAACGCAGTTCCAGGCTGCCGATGGCCCAAGCCCCAGCACTCCGAGGCCGCCTCGAAGCCCGGCTGGTGGTCCCAAGGTTATCGATATAAAGAGCATGCCCATGCGCGGACGTGGGGGTCTCAGAGGGCGCGGTGAAGCTCGTGGAAGAGGTGGTCTTATGTACAGAGGTCGAGGTGGACTTGCTAGGGGAGGATCATCAGCTCAGGATCGATCCTCTACACCTGTTCGAACCTCTTCACCAACAAGAGGTCGTGGTGGTTTCGGTGCGAGCAGAGCACGAGGCGGTCGTGGAGGTCGTGCTCGTGGCCGGGGTGGAAGAACCAACGATCGACGACCAAGGGATGAAGAGGACAAGGATAAGAAGAGGATCGACCGAAACGAGTTCAACACATTGGATCCCGATGAGAAGTCCTTTGACGATAACATTCGATTCGGCATCACCTCGGAATACAGACCATCTCTCACACTCGAATCTATCAACGAATTTGCGCCCCTTGCACCGAATTCCGCCTCTGGAAAATCGGCTGCAGTTTTTCAGAGCCTCAGTGTCCTCGGCACAGCGGATCATGTCGGTGCACCAAACACCTTCCAGCCCAAATATTACGCCTCTGAGATTGAGACCAATGGTGTTCGCTTCTTTGCCGACCCGAAAGATAAGGAGGCTACCGAAAAGTACCTCCAGGAGAAGCTCAAGACAGAAGGCAAAGAATCCACAGGCCCCATCATCACCGACACTGAAGAGGCTATTCGTCAGGTCATCACAAAGCGGGCTGTTCAGGGTCAACATGAGACACCCAAGTTCGCTTCAGACCCTGTTGGTCTCTCTCGCTCATGGCATCTCAGGGCCGAGACTTACTCTACCAACGATGTCAACTCCTTTGAGACGAAGTTGACGTCGCTTTTGGCCAAGAAGCCTGCTGCTGGAAAGGGTGGAAAGGCGCGCGCTTAAAAGATTAGATCTTAAGATCAGTGTACACTTGTCACGATATGTAATACTACAATATTCTGCATCTATCATACAATTACCATCTATAGTTGACGGATGGTCTGTGCTTCTTCCTGGTCGATTTCCTTCATCTTTTTGTCTTGTACCTTTTGAAGCTCCTTCTCGGCCTTTTTGACAATGTCGGGGAGGACAGTGCCCGACTTTTTCCAGTCCTTGAGTGTCTTTTCATGTCTGGATCTAGCATTGCGAATGCGGTCCTTCCAGTGCTGTACTGTCTCTTTGATTCGTCGCTCGACGTCGTCCTTGCGCTCGAGCTCCACCTTGAGAAGAAGCTCAAGCTCGTTGTCCTCTGACCGCTGTGGTTGTTGGTTGAACTCACGGCTTGCTTGCACCGCTGACATGATAGGCTTGATGTACTCCTTGTCGTTCACGAGCAGTGAAATAGCTCGACCAGATCGAGGAACGACTTGCGCCAACTCTCGTAGAGGGAATGTTACATCATTGCCGTCATGATCCTTCATGGGCACAGGCAGCGATCCCAAATTGGTAGGATTGAATCGTCCACCATGGATCATACCCGCCAACTGGGTCTTGAAGTGCGCATCAATAGGAGCATACGCAGCAATAACAGCTGTAAAATCGAGGGGATCTTCCGGATCCGGCATCGGCACCTTTGCAGTATCGAACTCCGCCTTGTTCACAGAGCCTGCAGCTGCCTTCGCATTGGCGCTGTTAGGGCTGTTGCTAGGGGCTGTGATCTTGCGCTTCTTGAGCAGAGAGGGAGACGTGCTGAAGACGCGGGGTGTGGCGGCTATCGATCGGAGGGGAGCTGGGCTGGTTTGGTCAGTCAATTGCATGATGAGAATATTGTGAGGCGGGCCGTACCCCTCTGAGCGCACGAGTTGCCGCAGGCATGTTCGTAGAGGACCATTGGCTTTTGACATTGCCATTGTGGTGAGTTCGTGTTGTGAGATATCGTTTCTGGTGTTAGGAGTTTAAGTGAAAGTCGAAATTCCTGCACGACGTCAGATCAGGACCTGGTTGTGAGTGATAAGATAAGCGCTGGGAGTGGACATCAATGGACATCACCCAAATAGTAGCTGCAGGCCAAATGAGATTTAAATAAGTCATACTGAATTATAGATATTACAATGAACATTCAGCTGATTACAAGATATTTCTATATGTCTGATGTAAAGACGGAAGTGAGAAGTGGGCAGCTTCGTTTGAAGCTGTTAGTTGGTCTTACAGCTCTACTCCTGGAAGTAATTCGACATAATCTGGCAGCAGATGGTGAACTGACATGACCTCAATCCTTAACGATAGAACGACTTAGACTAACAGAGCTTAGGATAATTTTAGGGCAACCTTTGGAAGGCCGTTGACTAAAGGTAGTTCCTTTTAAACTCCTCGTTTATGGTGCCCGGGTGGTTCAATGACATTGAATTTTGCAGACAACAGACAGAGTAGACTTAATCGTTTTCTCACTTACTCTAGGAGTCCCTCGTCAAACACTTTCATAGGACATTTACGGCATATACTATGAACAGAACATCACCGCTTGTCATGCTGGCCATTCTGCAGGCTGTCAGATAATTACCGCAATAAGACAGGCATTACTTTAACCAGGTCGTGTGGTGTAGTGGTTATCATGTTTCCTTTACAATTGACGCATTTGTGAACGGAAAAGGCCGCAGGTTCGAACCCTGCCACGATCAGCGTGATGCATGATATGTTGGTGCTGAGACACTGACCATCTTTAATTTTTGGCTGATGACTCAGGATCTCGCGGGGTAGTTATGGGTCCCCACGACTCGTGTAAGGCTGGTGCAAAACGAGTTCATTGGTCAAATCTGAACTTGAAAGTCATCATGGCAGGAGCAACTTCTATAGAAGGCAAATCGGTAATTGTTTATTTCAACCTCATGCAAACCACACGATAGTAGGCTGCAGATGCTGGGCAATTCATTCGCGATGTATCTTATGTCACCTATGAACTTGGTACCAATTCGATGCATATAGCAAGTACTTCTTGGTATGTTATGTGTAGGGGGGGCATTGTTGGAGGAGATATCTCAATTTACAAGAACCATATAGTCGTTTGCAATAAGCACAATACTGTTTATGTTCCATTGGACAAAGCAAGGGACAGATCATGACTGAGCAGAATCTGGACCAGAAGTTGAAAATGCAAAGATAATGGAAACATCGTGATGTAAAGCGAACTCTCCTATAGAAGGCTTATATATATAACAGTGGTCCTCCAAGCCTTTCATAATGGTTTTCTCCTGAAAAGCTGGCAGCAATAAAGGCACCACAGAGCTTATCTTTGACTTATAGAAACCAGGTTGCAGAATATCACGCTCATCGTGGCAGGGTTCAGACCTGCGGCCTTTTCCGTTCACAAATGCGTCAATTGTTCTTTCTGGCAATGAGGGTACTGGCTAAGACAAGGTTTTTGAAGGTGCCTGAGGTCACACTCTCGTGAGGGCTAGAGGTCTCGTAGATACTGCACGGGCAGAATCAGCAGTCTCTTTCGTAGGCCTGAGCAGCTCGTAAGTTCCCATTGAGGGTCATCTCGAGCGAGATTTGGTCCCGAAGCCGGTCTGAGATAAGTTCAAAGGACTGTCTCAAAGGATGGAAGGAAAGAAGGAATATGAAAGAAGAACAAAACGGTCTTGAGGGACTTCCCCACGAAACTCAGCATCAATGAGCAAGTCTATCATGTCAACATCATTCCAAGCTCGCCGGTACGATTCCATCCTCGGATTGATGTAGGCATGTCTATCACCAGTGCGGTTCGGTTGCTGTTCGACATGCAATGATATCAACAAGTGCAATCTCGTTCTTTGGCTCGAGAGGTGGGCTCAAAGATCAAATTGGGATGGCAGCACGACGAATGCGGTGAATTGCTGGATGCGAAGAACAACCAGTTTTACAGAAGCCATGCTTGGGCTTCTTTGCATAAGGGGAAGTATCACCGCCTTCGACTTGGTGTTTTGAGCCATAATTTTGGCTGTCGAGTCCTTTTTTAGAATCTGGAAAGGAAGAGTGCTTGACGACTGAGCAGTGTGACCCCCCAACACCAGTAATCCGACCTTAAGAAAGCCCTTCGGGAGTCGTCGAGCTTCCGAGCTAATCATGGAAGGATCCGTAGGCTGTTCCGACGAAGCGCAGAAGGGCAGTTCATGTACCCTTCTCTACCTGCGTTAGAGCTCAAGACGATGTCCAGGGGTCACAATCAATTGTGCATGTAGGAAGCCCGGAAGCAGAGTAAGTGGTGTTCTTACCGGTAATGGAGGCAAATATCAAGCCATCCCAGCATACCCAGTCTCTTTTCCGGGCTCAAGTACATTCAAGGCTCGCAGGCTACAAGTAGCGTAATTTTCCCGAAGTCGTCTCTTGTTTAGTAGGTGCAGTGTGCGGCTAATATGTTCACTTCTGGCCTGCGCTAGAACTGTCATTGACTTACGCTGCGCTGGCATATCCCGCGGGTGAAGGAGAGTAGAGCGAGGATAAATCATAGGATGGAAATGGTGAATTTTTGAAGGAAGTAGGCGGAGGTAGGCGGAGGTAGGCGGAGGTAGGCGGAGGTAGGCGGAGGTAAAATGATGTTGGGTACTTGATAGTAGCCACTGTCAGTAGGTAGTTGCTGGCTTGAGTGTTCCTTAGTATTGTAAGAAAGTTGTAGTGGTTACCTTATTCTGTCGCTCTTAATGATGTAGATCACGGTTCGATTGTGTCATTTCATCTTATGTATTGTAGAAGCTTATCCAAAACCTTTCATAATAGTGTTCTCCTGAAAAGCTACTGAAGTGCTGACGGCAAAAGAAAGGCACCTATAAAGCTTATCTTCAATATATAGAAACCAAGTTGCAGGACAAACTACTCCATGGACTAGCATTCGGTGTGTGCAATTGCATTTGTTCTGTCTGTAGATGACAGCTTCATTCTTTATTACATACCATACTAAACTCATGCATTGGACATGCTCATCAGCTTATGACTGAAGAGGCTTGCCCATGCCTCCATATGTGATCATCTTTGTAATCTGATACTCTCCGATTCCATATAGGGAGCCCTCGCGACCGAACCCACTCTCCTTGACACCACCGAAAGGCGCAGCAGCGTCGGAAATGATACCAGTGTTGACTCCAACCATACCAACCTCAAGAGACTCAGCAATGCGGTGCACACGCTCAATATCCCGGGAGAAGAAATAGCCTGCTAGACCAACCTCGGTGTTGTTGGCCATCTTGACAACTTCTTCCTCTGTCTCGAAGGGGAAGAGACCGGCGACAGGTCCAAAGGTCTCTTGTGAGGCCATGTCCATCTCAGGGGTCATGTCACGAATGACAGTGGGTGCATAGAAGTTGGAGCCAAGGTCGTTGAGTCGCTTGCCTCCGATGGTGATCTTTCCACCCTTCTTCTCAGCATCCTTGACATGAGCCTCAACCTTCTCAATAGCTCGATCGTGGATCAGAGGTCCATGTGTAACGCCTTGGTCAAAACCGTTGCCTACACTGAAAGACTTGACCTTCTCGGTAAACTTGGACACGAACTCATCGTAGATTCCGCGCTGGACATAAATTCGGTTGGCGCAGACACAGGTCTGGCCTGAAGATCGGAACTTGGACGCGATAGCTCCAGCCACAGCAGCATCCACATCAGCGTCATCAAAGACTATGAAAGGGGCGTTGCCACCAAGCTCCATGGAGAGCTTCTTAAGAGTGCCGGAAGACTGCTTCATGAGAAGCTTGCCAACACCGGTGGATCCTGTGAAGGAGACCTTGCGGATAGTAGGGTCAGATGTGAGAAGCTCGCCGAGCTCGGGTGTGTTTTCGTGTGAGGTCACAACGTTAACGACACCCTTGGGGATGCCTGCGCGGTGAGCCAATTCGGCCAAGGCGAGTGAAGTAAATGGTGTTTCGGCAGGGGACTTTGCGACGACCGTGCAACCTGCTGCCAAGGCTGGTCCGATTTTTCGTGTGATCATGGCGGCAGGGAAGTTCCATCTAAAAATTTCAGTTATGCGTCTTACAGGAGTGAAACTAACTTACGGTGTGATGAGACCGCAGACTCCAACGGGCTCCTTGATAGTCCAAACACGGTTTCCAGGAACCGAGCTAGGAATTGTGTCGCCATATACTCGTGGTGCTTCCTCACTAAACCACTCGAGAAAGTTTGCAGCATATGTTGTCTCGCCCTTGGCATCGGCGATGGGCTTTCCATTTTCCCAGGTAATAATCTTTGCGATATCCTCGGCGTTGGCGGCCATTTGATCATACCAAGCGCGCAGTAGCTTTGAGCGCTCGCGGCCGGTCTTGGCGCGGAATGAAGGGAACGCATCTGCAGCAGCGCTAATGGCTAATTGGGCATCTTTGGAGTTGAACTCGGGGCATGTTCCGATGAGTTTGCCAGTGGAAGGATCTAGACTGTGAGTATATGAGATTTATAAGTGAGAGAGTGAAGCTCACCATGAACTGCGAATGTCTTGCCGGAGCCGGCCTTGACCCATTCACCATTGACATAACAAACATCCTGCTTGAGAAGTGATGGATCTTTGAGCTACACGAAATTAGTTCTATGGTCAATCATTTAGACTGCAAGATGTGTACCTTTGGGGGAGCGACATTGGAAGCTCTCCTTGTGATCATCAATGAGATGACTGTAGATTGTCGCAGAGCTCCTCGCGATGGAGCGGCCAATCGGTGGAAAAGAGCCATCTTGATATCTCGACTCAGTCTCGACAAAATTCCAACAAACAATACAATCAATCAATTGAAGAGATGAAGGGTCAAGACTTGGAGTTTCACCGTTGCCGATGACGGATCGAGGTTGGTGATGGCGGGGTGACGTCTTGTTAAACAAGCTTGTGTGGGGTTGACTAAAGCTCCCGGAGCCGGTATCTTGACCACTATCGGCTCCGGCGGGACCGGCACAAGAGATATCGGCATGTTACTACCAAAGGCCGATTAATTAACCTCAAATAGCCCAATAGTGAGTCAGTCTTTGCTGTTTCCTAACGTTCTTCAGCTAGGAGGCTTTGACACCGGCAATTCTTGTGGACCTATTCAAGCTCTCCCCGTATTTCACCAATCGACCGGGCCGTGTTTACGAAATAGGCAACTCTGCGCGAAGAATAACTCATGCAAATCTCAGTGAATTATCAGATTCATGTATGAATAACAGTTAATGGAAGTTGAGCCTCGTTGGGCTATGTATGTTCCTTGGTATATCATCCTTAACTCCGAACACCCAATGCTCATTAATGATAGTTGTCCCTTCATGACATATCCTAAATTTCGTCTTAATACTTCTTCAACCATAGTATCTGTTTTGCTGAGATCGCAGTGGCAGTTGGCGATCCAGAGTGTGGAAAGCCTGTGTTCGAGGAGTATACGGCATCGCTCGAATACTGGGAGTCTTCATATTGTGCATCTCCCAAACACCTCCCTTTGGCTCCGAAGTCGTAGATCCATCTTCGTCGTCGTCGTCGTCGTCCGAAACATCGTTGATCTTATTGGGAAGCATGGCATAGATGCTGAATGCCAGATTACAGAGATAGATCGCCCTAAATCAGTGTTAGTAAAGTTGAGGTATATGTAGATACTATAGACCACTTACAGCATGTAAACACCAATTACTAGCGAGTATCGAGCAATCATGCAGCTCTTGTACTTTCCATATGGCTTGGCAATATCGCACCCAATGCGGT